CATAAATGAGTTTTAATGCAATCATTTCTTAAGTAAGAGAGGAGGAAAGAGCCAGGCTTCCTCCCTCCCCTGCCTCCAATCCAGGTTCCTCCTTGAAGGACATTTGATCCTCCTACAGCTCCACAGAGCCTCGGGGACCAGTGTAGACTCTCCACTGGGGAAATATGAGGACCCTTGTACTCTCAGATTGGCAGTTTAGCATCAAGCCTTACTCACTGCTGGTCTCACTGTGACCTTGATCTTCTCTTCAGAAACCAAGCGTTTGCCTTGTTACCAATGACCCAATCCCTTTCTCTTATATCTCTGCTTCCTGACCTTGTAAACATTCCAGTTACTGGACTTCCCATTTGACACCTCCTGGCTCCCCATGGCCTCTCTGGGGACCAGATCCTGAAGCTGAGCACCTGCTTTCCCTGGCTTGTGCCTGTGACCCCCTAAAGCCCACTCACTGATAGGCTAAGCTACTATTGGTACCACTGTGGGGCTTTCGGGGCTGAGGGTCCACCTACCACAGTACCCTGACCAGGCCTTCACCTGTTCCCTCACGGTGGCCTGCCCAGACTCTGAGCCACCTTGGTATGGTCTGTCCTGGCTGTAAATGAGCCCTAGGCTCAAGGATTTAGAAGAAAAAAACCCAGACTCGCAGAAAGTTTCCATGAGGATTTCCTGGTGATCCTGGCACATTGTCAAGCCTTGAGCTTCGGCTCAGAAGATCTACGTTTAATTCCTGGCTTGACCAGTTATCCACTCTGCGCTGCAAGCTACTCACTTAGCTTCTCTAAACTTGAATTTGCTGGTTTATAAAGGGGGTACCTTCAGGACTGAGAAGCAAGTGTGAAGACACTTAATACATATGTAAAAACGCAGTGTCTGGCTTGTATTAGGTGCACAATAAATATTGAGAGGTTGCCCCCTTTGTGGGTAGAATTTACCTCTCAGGGGTCTAAGGTTCCGGGCTGCCCACACCCAGAAGGAGGCGTAAGACAAGTCAGGAAACAAATAGCTTCTACCTGGGGATCAAATCTCCTCTTGGCTTCTCCTGCCCTCTGGAACCACTGTCACTAATTCTCTTGCCTCTCAGGTGTTGAACCTGACTGCTTTATCTACAAAGTTGTACCCAATGCCTTCTACCCACAGACACTTCTGCAAATGGTAGGTTCTAACTCTATCTGCCTTAGCTTAGAACTGATCTCATGCCTACGCTGCCTGAAGTACCTGCCAGACCCTTCCTGCTCCCAGGGTTCCCTGTTCCAGGGGCCTCCTATGGGGCCCTCCTAGGCCCAGAGCAATTCCAGGCACAGAGCAATAGTTCGCCCCTCAGGTAAGGATCTGGAAATTATTATAATCTGTTCCCAGCAAGCCTCAACCCAGGTTCAGCTGAGGGAGGCCAACACTGTGTTAGACAGTGTCCCTTCAGAGACACACTAGCAATAAGGCAGAAGAGCCATTGTCCCCTTATACAAAGCCACAGGAACCCACAGTTCTGGTGACCTCAACTCAGAAAAGCAGATTCTTGCATTAAAGAAGGTCCTGAGAAGGACACGGGGATCAGGAACTCATGTAGGGACAACTTGAAAAGTCTAGAAGTCTTCAGGGCAGAAAGCTGGGAAGGGTTTGATCACCACCGAAGGATCCTTGGACAGAGAAGGAGGAACCCCCAGTTTTGGTTTCTTCTTCAATGCTGACTTACTCAGAAAAGTCACTTCCATTCTCTGGAATGTTTTCTCTCCATCTGGATAGTGAAGTAGGTGGGACTAGTTCACAAATTTGGTTGATTCATCTGGGAAGGTTTTTACATGATGCAAGTATTGCCTCCACCCTCACCCCAACCTAGGATCTATTGAATCTGAAGCTCCAAGCCCTGAAATCTGTATTTTTAAAAGTCCTCAGGTGATTTGGGAAACACCCAATTCAATGATCTCCAAGGTCCCAGCTTGCTGTGACGTTCCGTGATATCTATGAGATTCCAGACAGAAAGAACAGAGGAAAACAATGGGACGAAGTTTGAGCAAGACAATCCCACACACATAAGAGGCAAGACAACCTTTGCACAATGGGCAATAAACTCAGAAACCCCTACCCCTGAGAGGTGGTGCTGGCTGGACACATAAATTGATTCCAAACAACTCTGAGCAGATTTATGAGGGTCAACGCCATCCGAGGGAGCAGGGAGGACCACTATGCCTTGAAGGCTGCTGGGAGCAACAGAATTCTGGCTGAATGAATCATGGGTCTGACCTGGAATGGCAAATCCTCTGTTCCCACGGAATCCACTTCAGAAAGAATTCCCTCTCTGGACTTTCCATCAGAAATTGTTGAAAATAAAAACCAAATTTTGTGTGTAGAAACCACCTGAGACTAATATATGTCCACTGAGTTGGGAAAACACTAGTCCCTTTATTAAAAAACAGCCCTAGAGTCCCTCCTTTATGGAATGAAGAACATAAATCTTGAGATTGGGTGTCTCTGCTTCCAAGAGTGAGAAATTGAACAGGAAGTTACGCACTTTCTAAACTAATGCTGAGGTCTACACAGCTAGTCAGGGGCAAAATCCAGGAAGAGAAAGGTTGACCCATCTGGATCCAAAGCTCATGCTCCTCTTCCTACCTCACCAAATGCCCCACCTGGCCAAGAAGTAGAAGCCCAGCATCTCTGGGAATGTCTGAGAACCCTCAGAGCAACGTTAACCTAGGCTGAGGGTAGGATGTTCAGTGAGGGTGCAAAGCCCATACAGTCAGCTTTCTTCCTCAGCACATTCTTGAGAAAAATATATGTGTGTGTATGTGTGTGTACATGTATTTTTTTCCTTCATTTCCAGGACTGAATTAAGTAAATAAACTACCATGCTTCTGCCCCAGATTGACGAGGCTGCCCCCAAATCCAGGCTCTTTGCTGCAGGCACAGACAGGATCTGCAGAATAGGCTTCAAGGAGCTCAAGATCATGGAAGGAGTAGATTTTTCAACTCCCTTTCTGAGCTCTTCTTTTTTTCCTTGTCCCCATCCTCATCCCCAACTCACCAAGTTTAAATTTATAGGTGCTGCTGGCAAGGGACCTATTTGATAAAAACTCCCCTGGCCACATTTCCCATTGTCAGGAACAGCACATCTTGGGTGTAAGCAGGAGTCATTGACACACTCATATTTTTAGAGTTTTGGACTTTACAGTGACCATTCATACCACGTGCTTCCTTTAATACTCATGCTAATCCAACCCTTTTTATAGACAAAGGAACTCTATCAAGGTCCCACAACCAACACGTGATGAAGCTGCCCCCACTCCCTGGTGTTCTGGCTGACTTCAAAGCCTGTGTCCTTTCCACTTCATCCCTCTGGCACAGCCCACACATGTGATTCGGGCACTGGGGAGGGTAAAAGGGCAACAGGCCAAGAGAGCTCTGCTACGATGCCCTCACTACAGTTAGTCCTTTAAATTAACGGGTTAACTCTTTAAAATACGTAGATCAGAAAATTAACAGTCAGCCATTCACACCAAAGACGAATGGATTCATCATCTTCTTGCCTTTGAAATGACCTTCAGAAACCAAATAGAAATCAACATCTTCATTTGGAAAAAATAAAGCTGAGAAAAGAGTTGAGTACTCCGTGTTGAGTAGCCGTGTGTGTTGGAACCCCAATTAGAACTTCAGTCTCCTGGCCTCGGGGCCAGGGAAGTGTCACAAAAGCCCATCACAACTGGCCCAGTTTTCAGATTATCAAACTGCCTAGCATAATTTCAGTCTGATTGCTTATAATTAGCAACTCAACAATCTTTCATATTTGCATCACTAAATTAGTTGAAAGTTTTCAAAAAATGTTTGCTTCAATATTTTAGTGAATAGAGCTATGTACACCCAAATTAATTTCTCCATAATTTTCTGTAGATAGAATTTGACTTAATCTCTTTAAAGAGAAATAATTTCTGCAACCTTATAATGAGATTTTTGTACCTTAAGTAAAAGTAACTTATCAAGAACATTTTCTCAAAGTTTTTATAGATTGTAAAACTATTAGAATTCTGGCCAGCATGAAATCAGACAACTCCCCAAGGTCTAGCCCAGCTCAAAGACAGAAAGTTTGAAAGGAAATGGCCCAGTGGTGGTGGAGGGGTGGAGTGTGCTGAGTGTTCCTGAGGCACCCTTTGAAGACCACCTAAGGACGTTGGGTCCTCCAGGTGAGGACAGAGCACCAGGAAGTGGTGGCATGCACCAAAGACGAATGTGCCCTGCTTCCCCATTTTTTACACTCTCTGTTACACTGAGAGCCTGAAAATTGCTTTCATTGCATTTTGATACCCTAATGCTGCTGAATACAGAGGCTGAGCCCTTTTGAGGGCCTGACAGGTAGACAAAGACACTAGCCAAGAGTACAAGACTTCATGTTCCCACACTGTCCTGGGTCCCCGGGCCACCGGAGGGTCACGGAGCTGACTCTGCATCCGGGTTACTCTTTTGATCTTCTCCAAGCTAAGAGGATCCTGTATGCAGATGTCAGACCTTGAGAGCAGGTTAGATGCAGTCACAGTAGCTCAGATGGAGTGCCTCTTCTTTGTCCAGCACTGTGCTGGACTCAGTGAGAAAGCAGGAGAGGACCCAGTTGCTGCCCATGTCTGTCTCACCTGAAGGGGGTCATCTCTCCCTCCTCAGAACTCTCACAGTGCAGTATTAGCCAGGCCATCCTAGGGCTTTTTTTACTGCCCTGCATCGTGGCGGGTTGCATCCCTGTTGGTCTCCCTTAGCAGGCTGTAAGCTTCTTACAGCCAGGATCCAAGTCTACTCCATCTGTACTCTCCCCTCATATCTGCCCCAGGGCCCAGTGCATAGTAGATCTTCGACAGAAGTTTCCAGTTTTAATGACTGTTCAGTATTTCTTGCCCCGATCTTGCCGTCTTGGAATGTGGGTTTGGGGCCATGGGGCGGACAGCTCAGAGGCAGCCCAGGGAGAATCTGGAAGGAGGGACATCCAGGCCAAGAGAGTGACTGCCTTTCCTCTTGTGCTGCAGTTCACTGGCTCTTCACCACGTGCGGGGCCAGCGGGCCCCATGGCCCCACGCAGGCCCAGTGCAACAACGCCTACCGGAACTCCAACCTGAGCGTGGTGGTGGGGAGCGAGGGCCCCCTGAAGGGCATCCAGACCTGGAAGGTGCCAGCCACCGACACCTACAGGTGCGTATGGGGGAGGGGGAGGCCAAGGGGCAGATGCAACCCTCCTGAAGAGGACTAGGGTCCTGCCTGTGGGTGCATGCCCCCAGGGTACCCAGCACGCCAAGGCTCAGAGGCCACAGACTCTGGCTCACAGTGGGATGTAAGGGCTGGTAATGCGGAGATTTCGGGTAATGAAATATGGCAACAAAGGAAGATGTGTTCTCCATCCTCAAGGAGCCCACAGACTATTTGTGGAGATGATATGCATACATGAGATAGCTTCAGAACACTCTTTGTCTTTATTATTAATAATTATAGTTATGGTGGGCTGTTCTTTGAGTATTACTTGATGCTGTTCAAATGAGGCAGGGCATGTAAAAATGTTTGGGAAACAGAAGTATGATGCATGTAAAAAGTGATATTCTTATGTTTGATCCTCCTTTCCTGAGCGTTCATTGTGAGCAAGTAAAGCAACTATTCTCGAACTCTTCTCCCATACCCAACCCCAACCCTGCAGTATTCTGCTAGAGCAAGGCCAGGCTAGAGGAGGCCCAACTCTTCCAGGCCATGTAGCTAAGCAAAGCTAATGGCAAGGCTTAGACCAGTGCTTCTCAACCTTGAGAAGGCATTGGAATGAGTGAGGGGCTGGTTGGAACACAGATTGCTGGCCCCACTCGCAGAGCATCTGGTTTTGTAGGTCTGGAGTAGGGTCCAAGAACATGAATTTCTAACAAGTTCCCCGATGCTGCTGATGCAGCCCCTGAGAACCGTCGAGTTCCGTCAAACCCTTGACTATAGTCCTCACACAGCTCGATGGCGTAGGCAAGGCCAGTGCTGCAATCCTCATTTGACAAATGAGGAAACTGAAGCCCAGAGAATCAGGAGCCTCCCCATGTCACACAGTCCAGAAATCACCTCCAACCCCAGACTTCTGAGATGCAGCCTCCCTGCGGCTCCTTCCACTGAACGCAGCCAGGCTGTTTAAACAGGAAGCATCATAATTATGATGTTGGTGTGAACGCCCCCCAGAGGCTGAACACAGTGGGGAGTGAGCTCTCCTTCCCTTCCTGCAGTCCCCAGCCCCCAGCACATCCTCAGCCTCCTGGGAAGGAAAGGGGCCTCTCCAGCTGCCCTGTTTTCTGTGCAGCCTCACCCCTGGGACCTCAGTGTAAACACGCTTCGCATTTCAGGGACAGCCCTAAGTGCTTTTTAAATGACATTCTAGGCAGGAATGGAGTAACAAGGTTTGGCTGCAATCAGATTAGCTGTTCTAGATCCCACACATCCCCAGTAAATGGCTGAAGACACCAGCACCCCTGGCCCCGCCACACTGAGCGGGTCAGGCCTCCCTTCCTGTCTGGGCCATCCACTGATCCACTGTCCCAGAGAGAAGGGGATGAATGTTTGCTGAGGACCCACCGGGTAATTCTCCTCCTTTCAGCAGTGAGGCAGATGTCGTTATTATTGTTATTATTAATAGTCCCTTGTTTCCATATGAGGAAACTGGAGTCAGAGAAGCTTAGCAACAAATCTAAGGCCAATCAATCAGTGACAGAGCTGGAATTTGAACCCAGGGCCCTCTGGATCAAAGTCTGTGTGTTCTTTCCACTGAAACTCACACCTGGATTCTGAGAGTCATGCAGGGGACAGGAGGAATGGGAAGCGGGGTAGGCATAGGAATCACGCACCACCCACCCCAGGAGCATCTGGAAATGAGAGCCTGGGAGGGGAGGCCCCACCACCCGAAGGGATAGTGGTCAGCCAAGCCCTGGGTGCAGATGCCCATACACAAAAACAACGTGAAGAAGAAAGCAGAGGAGCTGTAAGGCAGACAGCGATGTCAACAGTAATCCCCAACAAGACCCATTGTCCTATCCCTGCTCAGGGCAACTCCCAAGCCAGCCTGGCTAGAAGTCCCTTGCTGTCTCTCTCAGAAAGATTGATAAACAGGAGGTACCACGTTTGGAGGTCCTATTGGGCTGCATTCCCCTGAGACAGTGTGGATCAGACTCACTTCTAAACTTGGGCAGGTTATGTAATTTCTTGAGACTCTGTTTTCCCATCTGTAAAGGGGGTTGGGGGGTTACTAACACCAGCTCAGCGGGTTGTGAAGATCATATACAAGTGCCTCACACAACGCTGCACGTGCTGCCTGCTCCCTGGCCTGTGGGGCTAGAGCAACGACAGTGGCAGGCAGCAGGCAGCAGCCAGACGGCATTCCAGGAACAGATTGATCCCACAGACAGTAGTACTTAACTTCTCTGCTTCAAAGTGCTTTTTTTCTGACTTCTTCAAATGGGCCCCAGGGTGTGAAAGATTTTGCCTGCCAAACTGCACTTATTAAATAATAATTAATTCATTTTCCCATTTTTTAAATTAATCACAGCCATATCTAAGTCTAGCCGGGTTTCTGACCTCCATGAATATTGCCACACTGCATTGATATAATCCCAGCCCAAATAGGCGAACTGTCTCCATTTCTCTCTTTGGAATATTGAGACTAGCTCACAGACCCCAGCGTTGCCTGGTGAATACTCACTGAAAACATACACGAGGAGCCATTTTTATGTTAAAGCAGGATACTTTGAAGTGTCCAAATTGGTAATGGGGACATTTTGATCTATGAGACTGTGTTGAACTGGCCTGAGATAGCACCATATCAAAATGGGAGAAGCAAAATGGAAAAACATTAGTTTGGGTTTTTTATTGTTGTTGTTGTTGTCGAGTCCTTGTTTTTTAACCCAATAAAGGCTATAACAGATATTCCTGACCCTCACCTTACCCTTGACCTTGGGTGAGGCCCAGGGCTTGGGCAATAATGTCTACTGGTCACATAGCTTAGTAATCAAAGAAGCAGACCATTTAATGACTTGCTTTTCAGACCCCATCAAAATGTCCCCAAGTGGGACTATCCATATTAAGTCAAGTGCCCTTTCTCTGGAAGACATTTTCTCCATATTAACTGATTCTTATTTAGTAAGTGCAGCTAATCTAGTGAGATAAATATGGGACACACTAGAGGACGTGCGAAAAACCTTCTTGGAAACAGAAAGGTTGGGAGCATTTCTTAGGGAGTCCATCTATTCCTTGATGAGTGTGGGCACTCAGCTAGTGCTGTCTGGCTGCTGCCCAAGGCCTGGCTCTATTATTGCTCCAGCTGACTTCTACCTGCTGGTTAGAGAGGTGAAGGAAAGGGAGCTCACACTTATCAAGCACCTACAGTATGCCAAGGTGGGGCCCTGATTGCCTGGGGCTTCCTCAGGGAAGCATACAGGTGAAAGCACCCGCACTCTTAACTGATCATTTACCCTGGGCCCATCTCCCACCCTCTACTGCGTTGCCCACCACCATGAAGGTAGAAGCCCAGAAAGAGGGAGAGAAAGAAGAGGCTGCAGAGAAGGAGACCACAGGCTGGGGTGGGGGTTCAGGAGCAACACCTAAATCCCATCTTTCCCACCTCCTTTCCTGGGCTTCCCCTTCCCCTGGATTCATCACTTCCTCTGTCAAAACAGGAGAAGTGATGCAGTCACTCTGTCCAAGTACCTATGTCCTGGTGTCCAGAACTGCTCCTCTCCTGCCTTGCAAATCTCAGTGGACCATAGTAAGCACCTATTTAGTACACTGGGCCTGACACAAAGTATGTAAAGATGAACAAGATCCACTCCCTGCCAAAGAGGAGCTCGAGCCAATGGGGGTGGTGGATGGAAGAACAAAGCATTTCAGTGTGAGGTGCAGAGGCCTACGAGGGAGGTTTACACCAGGCACTGCTGTCAGAGGCCAGGGGAAAGGATGAACTCATGAACGGCTTCCACAAAGACAGACGCCGGAGTTAAGTCTTGCAGGTGATGGAGCTGTCTACAAAGAAGAGGAGAGGGCCTTCCTGGCGCAAGGAGCACCAGGGCCAAGGCCTATCCAGCAGGAGCCAAGGCAGGACCTGGCCCTGGGGCTAGAACCTCACTTCCGAAGTGCCTTTAGCTCCCTGAGGTGATGGCTGGAGTGTGATTGTGAGAGAAACAAGCCTGGAGGCAGGGAGAGCAGAGGGAAGGCTGCTGCTGTCACGCAGGCAAGAGTCAGAAAGGGCTAAACCGGGGCAGGGAAAACATGGATGGAGGGGAGGGGTAGGGCCAAGAAGTGTTTGGGAGGTAGAATCAGCATGATTGGAGGATGGGGAGGAGGCAATGCCCAGAATGACAGGCATACCTGGGGTCTAAGGAAGCCAGGACAATGAGTGACAGCTACCATCTCAAGGAGCTTGATTGAGGAGGACAGGTGGGGATTAGGATAATGGTGAGAGGGGCACCTGATTAAGGGAGATTTCTGGGTCACAGTTCTGACTGATGACATCTAGAGTGTGCCGTGCAGGTGAGTGGCTGAAGTGGAGCACAAAAAGCGTGGATTGTGGGGTATGTGCTGGGCTGGACAAGATCCTCAGCCTCACCATAAAATAGAGACAGCCACTGACAGAACCCAGCTCCCAGGACTGCTGGGGATTTAGTGCAATTCTCTAGGTGACATCCTCACAAAGTCCACACTCAGAAGACGTCGGGGGCCATTTCTCGTTGTTCCTAACTTCTCCTCTTTATCCCTCTCTCTCTCCCTTCAGCTTTCCTTCTTTCCTTCCTACTTCTCTAGGGCTCAGCATCTTTCCTAGCCCTCCCAGTCCTTTCCCCTTTTCCCACATACACGCACATACATACAGATCGTCTATAAAAACATTTGTCAAGCACAGCCCACAGCTCCTGTTGGCGGTTCTCTCATGGTTCACTTATTCCTTAGACATTACGTACAAGAGGCCCCAGATCCCAGCTGGAGCCAGGAAATCCTGCCAGCTGACCTGGGCTACAGCTGTTTCTGATAGTCTCTAGCACTGACACTCATTTCCCCACCTGGCTCCAGGGACCCGGGTGTGCAGCTGTATGATACCATCATTCAACCCAACCCACAGCCATGGAGCTCCTACTGTGTGCTGAGCACTGAGCCATGGAGCTCCTACTGTGTGCCGGGCTCTGAGTAAGTGCTGC